AGGGTTCAAAGTAGGACGAGCAGCAGAAGGCGCAGCATGCGTAGGGATGGAGCACTGCATCTGGACTCAAAAATGTGCCAAATACAACGATAATGACTGGGCATTTCTGTTTGGGTGAAGAGGGTAGAACACTCAAGGGGGTTAAAGTAGGACGAGTGGCACAGCATGCGTAGGGATAGAGCACTGCATCTGGACTCAAAAAGGTGCCAAATACAACTATAATGACTGGGCATTCCGTTCGGGTGAAGAGGGTAGAGCACTGAAGGGTTCAAAGTAGGACGAGCAGCAGAAGGCGCAGCATGCGTAGGGATAGAAACACCGAGGTAACTGTGAATCCGTCCTTCGTAACAGCTCTAGGAGGAAACAAGGACATCAGTCAGTCAGTGAGTCAGGTAGGGCGGAGAGGAGTGCATTCAGAGTCGACGGGTTGGCCAGAGTGCAATCAGAGTCGACGACCGCAGGGTAGCAGAACAGCGATGTAGCAGCGGTGAATCCTTCTGACCGAAGAATGACATTGTGCTGAACAAGAATCGGAGGCAGTAGACAGGCTCCAGCGGAGGAGATCGTTGGGGACCCTGCAGTAGGGGGTTGTCTGAGAGGGATCCTCCGCGATAGCATTGTCGGCGTCCCGTCCTAATACAAGAAGACTCTAACAGCAACCCTAGTTCATGACTACGGAAGTAATGGAACCGGATGGTGGCCTAGTACATACTAATGACGGAGCCGTTTACTATGTAGACCCCTATAACAACAACAGAGGGGTCTAACTCATGACCACGGTAAGGTGATGGATGATTGGACCATAGACCCCGCTGATGACGGAGGCTAGGATCCCAACAGACTGGCGTCCAATCAAATAACGTTCAGAATAACCACAACAACAGCATCACTGGGTCGGCAACCTGGCCTTCTCGAGGGGATGTCAAGAGGTTAGACCTTGTGGCCAGGGAGGGGCCACTAGACACTGTCTGTGACATCTAGGCTATAGTCCTCCCTGGCCACTAGACACTGCCTGTGACATCTAGGCTATAGTCCGACTTATATCCCGGGGGGAGCAGATCATAACAACAACAATACAATACCGATTGGGGGGGCACGTAGGGGAGTCCGAACCCCCTCAGGAAAGGCCTGTAGTGGCATGCTCACACCTAGCTCCCAAAGAACCCGTGCAACAGGGCTTGGACGGCATCCGCTTCAACCAGGGCTGAGTGGGGAAGAAGGGGTCCCCCTGCTCAGCCCGGGTGCCTGCAACCGACCGCTGTCTGGTCAGGTCACCTAGCCGAGTTGGTGACGGGTGATGGTCCTGGGTGGCCCACACTAAGGTAGAACAGAGGGGGTGGGGGTGCGCAGAGGTAATTGATCAGAGGAAGGGTGGATGGGGTGGTCTTCTGAGGGGGGTTACAAAAAATGCCTGCAATTGCTGTCTGGTCAGGTCACCCAGCCCCTGTCTCTTATACACATCTAGATGTGTATAAGAGACAGAAGTACACTGGATTCATGGCTGGCTCAGACAGAGACTCGCAAACCCCCAGGGCTTCACTCTCCGTTAGACTGAGAAGGAAACGGAAAAGGGAAGTTCAGTTAGCCCAGTACATTTCGGCGATCCATCGCCGACACAGAGTGACATGCTTTGGTACATTCTGCAGTAGGTGAAACCTATTTCCCTCCCGCCCATTGCAGCCTAATGTCCTCAGCTTTCCACGGATTGCGCGCGCTGCGTGCGCCTTCCGTCTTCAGAAAAGCCATCGACTTCGTGTTGCTGCCTACTTGTACCAACTTCAAGGAGAGGAAGCTTGAAAGAGTGGCAGACACTCAGAGATGGATTGAGGAAATAACAAACCTACCAATTGCACTAGCAATTGCTGGGACACGGACATCAACATGAACTGTATCTTGAAGCCATCAACTTGGTGTTCCTTCTGCCTACTTGTACCAACTTCAAGGAGAGGAAATTCGAAAGAGCGGCAGAGACTCAGAGATGGACTGGCGAAATAACAAACCTACCAATTGCACTAGCAATTGCTGGGACACGGACATCGACATGAACTGTATCTTGAAGCCATCAACTTGGTGTTCCTTCTGCCTACTTGTACCAACTTCAGGGAGAGGAAGGTTGAAAGAGTGGCAGTCACTGAGAGATGGACTGACAAAATAACAAACCTACCGATTCAACAAGCAACTGGTCGCACACAGACATCGACATGAGCTGTACCATGAAGACCTAGCAATCGAACTACGCGGTAGCTATCGAAAAAGGACATCAACAGAGCTTCACCTTTTTCGACCTGCCAACCAAACTAGCAAACACGAAGAGAGAAAGTAGTCGCGCACGGACATGATGATGAAGCCGATCATTCATTACACCTCGGATTGATTTGATGGAGTCACTTGACTCATCAACTGATTGATGGGGATTGACTGAGTCGCCCATCGACTAACTAGGCCAGCAGCAGTGGTTTACTCACGCTTGGGCAAGTGTCCGCTCTCACTCAAGCAGCAGCAGCAGCAGCAGCAGCAGCAACCACAGCGACCGATCGGATCTAAATCACTGATTGACAAACCTCCAAGGGAACTCTGAGGTATCGATTCCCGCCGCGTGAAGCGCATCTACGTGCTGCAAAGCCTCTCTACACTCCTCTCTGTCATCGAAGTAATCCCTCTCTGTTCCGGTTATCTGATACGTCTCGTGCCCCTTCCCTGCTATCACCACAGCATCCCCCTCTTCTCCCATTGCGACGGCTGCGCGAACGGCGATGATGCGCATGTCGTGTACATAGAGCCTGTGACCATTAGGTAAGGGGGGATAAAACCCATCCCTGCCCCACTTGAGGTAATCCTCAATGCTCCATCCAACACCAGCGAGCATATCGTCGATGATATCGAGAGGGTTTTCCGTGCGCGGATTGTCGGATGTCAGAATGGTCACTTCGCTCTTCTCCGTGGCAATTTTGGCCATCAAGGGTCGCTTGCCCCGATCCCGATCTCCCCCGCAGCCTATGACGGTGATGAGCCGCCGAGGACCGCATTCCCTGACAGAGTCCAGAAGCCTCCCCAAGGCGTCAGGGGTGTGGGCGTAGTCCACCACCACCGCGAAAGCCTGCTCTTCGTCGATCAGCTCGCACCGACCGGGTACGGCATCCACCTCCTCAATCCCCTTAACCACGTCTTCAAGTGGAGCATCTATCGCGATCCCGACGGCCACCGTGGCAAGAATGTTGTACACGTTGTGCCTCCCCAGCAGCCCCGACGAGATCTCTATGTCTCCCTTCGGCGTCCTAACTACAACCTCCGTCTCGAAAAGCGACAGCTGTACCTCCAAGGCCCGCACGTCTGCATCCTCCCTCTCCATGCCAAATGTCACCACAGGCACGTTGGGGTTGCCCCTGGCCACGAACCAATCAGCATTAGGATCGTCAAGATTAACCACCTTGCGATGGCGATCGGGATCTACCATCCGGTCGAACAACTTGCCCTTGGCGCTGCGGTAATCCTCTTCGGTCTTGTGGAAGTCCATGTGGTCCCGGGTGAAGTTGGTGAAGACGGCCACATCGAAGTCCACGTCATCAACCCGACCAAGTTCTAGACCATGAGAGGACGCCTCCATCACACAAGCCGACACTCCTGCATCCACCATGTCCTTCATCAAACGATGAAGAGGCGCAGCCTCCGGAGTCGTTTGGGAGGATTCCAGCTTCTTCTTTCCCACGAAATGGTTGATGGTACCGACCAAGCCCGTCTCCAACCCCATGGCATTGTACATTCCTCGCAAAAGGTAGGTGGTTGTGGTCTTACCGTTCGTCCCTGTCACGCCTATCACAGCCATCTGCCTAGAGGGATGGCGATAAACGGCGCTGGACAACGCGGAGATCACCTTGGAGGTGTCCTCCACCATCACCAACGCCTTCACCTTCTCCCCATCAAACACCACCTCCTCCTCCTTGGACGCAACGACTGCCACTGCCCCTTTCTCCACAGCCTCGGCCACATACAAATGGCCATCCGTCTTATCACCTACAATACACACGAAGACATCGCCGGGGCTCGTAGTGCGCGAGTCTATCGAGACCCCAGTCACAACCACCTCCGCATTGCCCGCCACATAAATCGGCTGGACACCGGCTTCTTCCAGCAACTCCCTTAGCGTCGCGCTCGATTCCGCACCGTTTGCGCCTCCCCCCTCTCCTACCCCCCCCTCTCGTCCGAAATTCATCGTCGCCTCCGCGTAATCGTCGAATTCATCCCTCTCTCCCAGCACATCGTCGCCGAAATCCAGGTCGAAATCCGCATCATCCACGTACGCCTCTCGTCTCCCCACAATCATCTCCTCCTCCTCCTCCTCCTCCTCCTCCTCCTCCTCTTCCTCCTCAGCATCATCAGCACCCTCCTCCTCCTCCTCCGCCGCCGCCTCCTCCTTGGCGTACCTACCCGCGCGCCCTCGCGTATTGCTCGACGAAACCCTGCACTGCTGCACACCCTTCATCTTGTCATCACCGCACGGCGCGCAACGACCAAGCGGCGCCAACGACCACGAGGACGACGAGACAGGCAATCCCACGTGTCTCACAACCGCAGCCCCAGCCTCGCCAGAGGTCAGGGTCGGGTTTTGGAACCGTGAGATTCGCCCTCTGCTGTTGCGCATGAGCCCCTCAGCGAATTGCCGAGCAGAAGAAACCAGCACCAGATCGCGGACGCCCGTAGACATAGATGTGGTGGTCCCCACGGCCCTGATCATCGGACCCCAGCGTCTTGTGGCATGATCCATAGGGTGCAATGCCGCGGTCCTGAGCGTCGTTCTACCACTACTGCTCCTATCAGCTCCTCTCCGCTTCCTCGACATTGCCAGAGTCCTGCGACCAAGCAGCAAGCACGCGGAGCACCGGGGGTTTAGCAAGCCATCAAACGGCCGCCTTTCGGTGGAACCCTTGCTGGCGGCCGGGATGGATGTAGAAGCACCACCGCTATCTCCATCCGCACTCCCAAGTCCGTGACAAAAGCCCAAGTAGGGTGGCGCACGTTCAATAACGGGGCGAAGACGACTACGGGGACAGTACGCATTGCGCTGCTTCCGAAACGAGCCCCCCGCCGTCGCCCCCGCCGTCGCCCCCGACGACCGCAGTGTCCCGATGTCAAATAGGTATTCTTGCCCCGCGCTAGTGCCCACGTCGGCACTCCAGGTCAGCCTCGTCTCAGGACAGGCGGACATCGGCGACAAGCCAATGCGGGACTCTGAGAATCCCGCCGATGGCCTCTCCATCCTCCTCCTCCTCTCCTCAGAACCCCCACCTGCCAACGCTCCAGCCATCGCCGTGACGGCGAATTCCCCGCCCAAGAGTGTCGCACACGAAGCCATGGCGGCGCAATGATGATGTTTTCAGCCGTCTGATTCGTCGGATTTCCTTGCTCGACAAATCCTTCGTCTCCTCGGCAGGCAGATTCCTCGTCTACAACAGAGCGATCGATCATTCAATACCCAACCAGCTCATCGAAACCCTTCTCCCCTCGGTACTAGCCAAGTCCCAGCTGCCATGGCAATCACTAACCCCATCCTACCTACCCACTGACCATCATAACCAAATCCAGAGAACCGTCTGCTTCATAAAAAACTCTCAAATCTGTACGGATCCAGAGCTACCACATGCGCGTGATCGATTTTTCTTATAGTAATTTTTTTTAATCGCACAGAATAATACAATCAAGACCACTATCACCCACAGGTCTTGATTTAATCAGGAGATACTAGAGATGACCTGTTTTGCAGCTTCGCTTGCAAGAAGAAAAAAAAACAGGAGGGAATATACCACCCAACCCTTTGTCTTTCTTGAAGCTCGATCGTTTGCTTTGGGAAGCCGTACGTTCTCGGCTTCCTTTTTTTGTTGTGCGCTTTTTGATGAAATGACCCACACAACTGCACAGTCCGTGGACTTCAACTTTTCCGAGACAATGTGTCCCGTTAATCTGTTTGCTCAAGATATCCTATCCTCAGTCTGTTTGCTCTATTTTCTCGAATACGTGTGTGGTCTGTATGGCATGTGCTAACTTGCTAAATCATGTGTCCCGTTAATCTTGACCATCTTTCTGCGTGTGTGTGCAAGTGCAAGTGCATGTGTGTGTGTGTGTGTGTGTGTGTGTGCGTGCAAGTGCAAGTGCAAGTGTGTGTGCGTGTGTGTGAGTCTCCAGTTCAGTGGCCCCCGATGGTGTGGTTGAGACTCGTTGGCGGGAGGGAGGAGTTGACGCAAGTAGTCTTCAAATCATAAGACAGCAACTGTCGTTGAGCAGGCCACGTAATGTAGTGATGTATGAATGAATGAAGTAATCAGCATCCGATCTGCTTCGCTGTCGCTATTCCCAGGGGCGAGTTATCAGGCCAAGTAGTGTAATCATGTGAGTCGTAATGCTGGGCGTGAATCTTGGAGCATTCCCTGGAAGATTCCCTGGAAGGCAAAAGCCAAAGAAGAGAAACGGAGCAGCACGTGTCAGAATCACTTCGTAGTGGACAATGACAAACTCTCTCTCTCTCTCTCTCTCTCTCTCTCTCTCTCTCCATCCACTGCACCGACCCTCCATCTTCCTCATGATCTTCCTCCTCGCGCTCCTCCTCAATGCTCTCTCTCTCTCTCTCTCTCTCTCTCTCTCTCTCTCTCTCTCTCTCTCTCTCTCTCTCTCTCTCTCTCTCTCTCTCTCCTCCTCCTTCCTCGCCCCGATCTCCACCTCTGCCAGACCTCCTCTCTCGGCAACCCTCCTCCGTTCCCTTCCTTCCTCCGCACGACCTCCACCTGACCTCCTCCCTCCATCCCTCCCTCCACCAGTCCTTCTGCCTCCCTCCTTCCTCTCCCCGGCCGGCTTCCCTTTGGTGACGCCCGACCTTTTTTTTTTTTTTTGGTGACGCCCGACCGAAGAAGTGCATTTTGTTTCTTTCTTCTTTTTCCAGTGGACGTAATCGCTACATTTCTCTTCAAGATTTCGATATGGGTTCACGCGCGCAAGAGGGAGACAGGGAGATGAAGAGAGGGGGAGAGAGACACATTTCACCTAACAATCTTCAACTCCACATCCTCCTCAAGCTCTTCCTTCTCCTTCACGTTCTTCCTTCCCTGCAACCTCTCCTTTGTCCGTCTCCTCCACCACTCAAGGCACGTCTTCCTCTTCCTCACGCTCTTCCTCCTCAAGATTCTCCTCTCGCTCTTTGGGCACCGCCTTAAGATTGACCATTGGACTGACCCGCGCCAGGTATTTCAAGCAGTCGAGTTCAGGCTCTTCCTCCCCCATCCCCTACACCGGCCACATTGAGAGAGTCAGTCCTCTCTCTCTCTCTCTCTCTCTCTCTCTCTCTCTCTCTCTCTCTCTCTCTCTCTCTCTCTCTCTCTCTCTCTCTCTCTCTCTCTCTCTCTCTCTCGCCCTAATTGAGATCGAAAAAGAAATGTGGTGTAATACAATAACGAAAAGTGAAATCCACTGTCTAGGTCAGGCACAAAGAAGGGACGCAGGAGGGAGGGGGGAGAGGGGGAGGGAGCGAGCGATAAGCTAAGACCATCGGAGGGAGGAGGGAGGAAGGAGGGAGGAAAAAGGGAAGCAGGAAAGAGGGAGGGAAGAGGGAGGGAGGAGGGACGGCGAGCCAAGGGGGGAGGAAGGAGCGAGGGAGGAAGGACTGGGATCAAGGGAGAAGGACCGAGGAAAGAATGGAGGGAGGGAGGAGGATAGGCCGAGGGAGGAGGGATGGTGATGATGCCTCTGGTGCCTCTGGTCAAGGATGAAAGATGAGGGAGGAAGGACGGAGGGAGGAGGGAGGGAGGAAGGAAGGCCGAGGGAGGAGGAAGGGCCAATGGGATGGAGGAATGTGCGAGGAAGGAAGGAGGGAGAGAGGACGGGGGGGAAGAGGGAGGAGGAAGGGAGGAGGTCAGGCGGAGCTCGGGCGGAGAAAGGGAGGGAGGGAGGAGGGAGGACGGACGGAGGGCGGAGCGAAGGAGGTGGTCAGGCGGAGATCAGGCAGAGGGAAGAAGGAGAGAGAACGGAGGGAGGGAGGAGGTCAAAGATATAGAGACTCACTTGAGTCAGCCATCCTGGCGAAACCTCCAGCCGACAACGATCAACCAACAAGGCGCAGGCCTTCAGCCATGATTTAGCCCCCACAAAAGGAGACAAGGCCTCAGGCGCACGCTACAGTAATCACGTCGAAGTTCACGCAGCACCTTGCACGGTAGGTCGCGTCAGCAGAGCAGCACGGCCCGTCAAGCCGGTCGTCGGCACGGCAGCATGGTAGGCCGCGGGTGTGCGTGTGTGTGTGTGTGTGTGTGTGTGTGTGAGAGAGAGAGAGAGAGAGAGAGAGAGAGAGAGAGAGAGACGCAGGCGGTAGACTACACGGCGCCGGCCGTCGACGACAGGGTGCGAAGAGACTAACACGGCCGTGTACGACGAAAGCTCTGAGGTACCTCAGGTTGCCTGAGATCCGGGCCGTTGGGCCCAAGCTACCGGGCCGACGGTCCGGTCGGACCCAACGGGCCAGATTGAAGATTTGTTATATGGTTCGGACGACCCGGGCCGTGGTCCGGGGCGAGGGCCAGTAGGACCGACGACGGCGTGGATAGGCGCACGGCCCGGATCTTAGACGGATCCTAGACGGATCTTACCCTGGATTATTCATTTTTCACCCTGGATTACGAAGATCAACGGTCAGAAATGAATAATATGGGCTATTGGGATCTGGCACTTAGATTTGTCACGTAAAAAGGAAACTGCCTAGGTAGAAGAAGAATATAGAAAGCTGAAGCCAGACAACCAGGAGAAGCCGGTGACTACACAAGAGGTCTTGGCGCAGGTGCTCTTCGGAAACTAAGCTATCAGGGATCGAGAAGGGCGATGGTTTCCGGCAAACAGAGCAGCAGGTAGCTTTGGCAGGCAATGGATTCAAAAGAGAATCGTGCGGGTGAGAGATACTTGGGACATGTTCAGAGGTGACTGGGTCTCTACGGACCAGCTTAAGGAGAAGCTAATAGGAATGTGGGGAGTGGAGGAGAAGATAAACAGATTGAAAGAAGCGATCCCAGCGGATTGGAAAAGCAATCCTGGCACCGGAGGGAGTAGACCCACCTGGTACCTGGTACGGAGGGGAGAAGCAGGACGAAACCCTAGAATTTTGGAAACTCGCATTGATCGAAGCAGACGGGAGGAGATCGTTTCAACAGTGGAGGAAGACAGAGAGCGAGCGCAGCATAACACTGATGGAACAACAGGAGGACGAGGACACAGTGAGAAGACCTCCTCCTGTATTGGAACAAGTCAGAGTCAAGGACAGGGTAAATGAGGCAGGGGAAAGGTCGGTAGAGGTACTATGTGGAGGACTACCGCTCACAAAAATCAGAGCAGACCCGGCCGTGGGCGTGGCGAGGTAGAGGACAAGGGGGATAAGACATGCAGGTATCGGAGTACTCCTTAGAACTGGGGTACAAAGTCCAGGAGTCAGCGAGAACCCCAAGCACGGTGGCCTCAGAAAGATGGGCCAAATTGCTACAGATGGACCCGGAGAAGATTATAACAATCAACGCCAGGTGCTGGCAACAGCTCACCATCATGCCATCGCAACGACTAGCAGCAGGGCCCTGGTTGTTGTCGTTGGTAGCCACACCTTCGGCACTATGGTTGGCGGAGAAAGGAATGAAAGTGGACACTACGTGTAAAAGGTGTGAATAGGCTTATGAGTCCACCATACACCTATGGTGAGACTGCCCGGCCTCAAGCCGCATATGGAAATGGTGGAACGAAGAGTGGAAGAGAATCTCAGACAAAGCTCTCGTATGGGACAATCTGCGGGTGCTATTGGGAGGAGTCCCAGAGGGATTGAGCCTCGAGAAAGGCTGGGGATACGTGGCACAAGTAATCAAGGCAGTGGGCATCTGGGTCATCTGGCAGGGGAGGAACAAGAAGGCCTTCAAAGATGAAGACATGCACGACACGGAGATGAAACACACTTTCAAAAGTCTAATTCGCCAAGCCATTGCAGCAGACCGGAAGAGGAAGGTCACCAAAAGCAAGAACAGACAGCAGGGCAGAAAACGGTTCGTGGAAACCTGGGCAAATAAGGATAAGTTAGCGAAGATAAATGAGGGAGAGAAGTTGGGCTTTTCGGAGTGGTTAACTAGGTAGACCAACCAGGGCACTCGGTTGTGTTATCCGCAGTAGGAGGCAAGAGGGAAGTCGAGGGAGAGAGTGTCAAGACAGAAGGGGATCAAAAGATCCACTCGGTCGAATTAGACAGAGCACATAGGACTGCCCACGATTAGGCAGAATAGTCGGGAGTTTTAGGATAGAGAGTAGGAGTAGAAGGATAATAAGAAAAGAATTAAAAACTAGATTACAGGAGGTCCTTTATAATATCACCCCTATCTCCACACCTATCACCCCTCACTCCACCCCCCAACACCCCCCCCCCCCCCCCCCCCCCCCCCCCCCCCCCCCCCCCCCCCCCCCCTTTACCAAATACCCTGATCCGATACCTATTCCCAACCAATTCACCCGAAAGGGCCTATAGGTAGAAAGTAGCTTCTGGTAAGAAATTGTTTGCTTTCTGGTTCGTTCCTTTCTCCCTTTTTCCTGTGTTGGCGCTGCCAAGTGTCGTCGGGTCATCCCGCTACCTAAACTGGGTAATGGTCCCAGTACAGAGTTGTGTTTGCTCCGGGTTGTTTGTGAGGATTCCCGGCCTCATGTTTTTTTCATGAATAAAGGTTTCTCGCTTTCCCCCCCAAAAAAATATATATATATATATAGAGAGAGAGAGAGGAAAAAAAAAAAAGGAATAGAGGCTTCGCAAGTCTGCCGCCGGCGCTACCGTCGAATTAGGGTTGGGTTTTGCGCTCAGAGTTGCGAGTGGTTTCTGTCACGTGTGGGGTTCGAATTCGCGTGGGTAGGAGGCCGCACCCGCTGTTGACCCTAACCTATCGTTGGTTGAGTTTCATAGTAGTTTCGACGGAGTGGACATGGTGACATGTGAGGTGTGCACCAAGACGGTGGAGTAGCTTGTCTCGCATGGCGGGCGATCCGTCGGGCTGTAAGTGGTGTGTTGGTCGTTCTTTCAAGTTGTACCTCTCCTAACTCAACCCTTGAGTGGGTTGAGGGATGCACGACGTCCATCGAGAGGTACCACTAGCAACTCCTAAAACACTTGTCATTTCCTTTACCTATTATTTTCAGTCTCAAACTCTCGATTCCCCTAATCTCTGTGATCAAACAAAGGAGTTGCCCTTCCCTCAGAGCGATGTGCTCGAGGAGTATGCTCATTTTCTCCACGATTTTTGTTTTTTTGTTTTTTGTTTTTGTTTTTATTGAAACTTCGTATACGGGAAACCTACTTAACGAGGTGATAAGAGCATCCCCGGTAAGTAGGACTCTGCGTCGAAGGCTCCATCTATTGGTGGGGAGCTACACCTGTTGGAAATCGGGTCCAGCGTCCCTATACAATGATGAGAATGTATCTGCTGGAATTTGGGGCCAGCGTCCCTATATAATGATGTGAATGTATCTGCTGGAAACCAGGTCCAGCGTCCCAATGCAAAATTGTGTTGACAGCTCCATCTACCTATGTATACACATTAAGCAATATATGTCAACAACGAAACCCTAACCAGGATGTGATATATGTGTGATATTTGTGATATTTGTGATGTATGTGTATAATGTCTATCAAAATAAAAACACGAAACTCTAAAAATGATGTGATGTGTATGATCTTTATCAATCAAAGCATAAGCACGAATCACTATCAATTATGTAATATGTATGTTATGGACATCGAGTCCTTATACCTACTGTCCGAAGGAGAGCAGGGGCATTGATTACTTCCCTGCGCAAGGGAAGGATTAACCACCAGCAAACTACTCCCTAAGCAGTGCACCTCCCTCCCATGGGGCAATCAACACCCCATTGTTGATCGATATTGCGGGTCGGGCAACACCAATCAGCATCGATTATCCTACTCGTATCCTCAGCCAGACAATGAGGTTGACGGAGGGGGAAGGGGGGGAGGATGATACCACCAATCAACATCGACTATCCTACTCCTATCCTCAAACAGACAACGAGGTTGAAGGGGGGAAGGAGGGGAAAACGGTAAGCTTCTTATCCGTGTCAACCCCGATCCCCACCACGTCAGCATGCACCCTCTCTCCCTTTCGGCTGATGCTCACTGCCCCGCTGTTGCCATGGTAATCGTTGCCGCCGTCATCGTTGCGGTTGCCCTCATCGTTGTTGTTGTCATCCCCAATGCCCACACGCCCGCTTGCGGCATCTTTCCCATCATGCTGATGATGATCTGAGATGCGTCGCACTCAACCCTGCTCCTACCGAGGACAACCTCAGTCCCCTCCACGTCCACTCGCGACATCTCACCCATCCTGCGGATGATAAACTCAGATGCGCGGACATCGCTCTCCACCCCGCCGTTGTCGTGGTCGTCACAGTCGTTGTTGTTGTTGTTTGCCCCGTTGTTGGCGTTGTCATCACTGTTGCCGTCGCCGTTGTTGTCGTTGTTATTGTTGTCGTTGTTGATGTCGTTGATGCTGATATTATTAATATTGTTGTTATTGTTGTTGTCCTTAGTGTTGTCGGTATTGTCACCGCAATTGTCATCACCGCGATTATCTTCGCCTTCATCCAATCCGCCCTCCACCCAGTCATCTATGTCGCTCTCCATCTCGCCGTTGTCGTGGCCGTCGCAGTCATTCTTGTTGTTGTTGTTGTTTGCCCCGTTGTTGTCGTGGTCATCACTGTTGTCGTCGTCGTCGTCGTTGTTGTTGTTGTTGTTGTTGTTGTTGTTGTTGCTGTTGTTGTTGTTGTTGCTGTTGTTGGTGTCGTTGATGCCGTTGATGCCGATATAATTGATATTGTTGTTGTTGTTGTTGTCCTTGGTGTTGTCGGTGTTGTCGGTGTTGTCGTCGCGATTATCTTTGCCTTCATCCAATCTGCCCTCCACCCAGTCATCCATGTCGCCCTTGTCACCCATCCTTCTCGTACCCTGCCGAGCCTCTAGTTGGTTGCGAAGGTTGCCGGTCATTATAAAGAGGGCATTACAAACACCAATCTTATCATTCACCCTTCTCCAGTCGCTGTAGGCCTCAAGTCAGGGATCTAACCCCTCCTCCAGCTCCCACATGACGTCTGCTAGCCACTGCTCCATAGAGATCCCCCCCCCATCGATCTTCGCCTCCTCTTGCCACAACATGATCATCCTCACTATCGCCCGCAGCTGCTTGCATCCCTTGTCTAGTGTGATAAGCCATTCTTGAGCTCGATGTTGTAACTTCCCCACTGAACTCATCTCTTGCCCAACTAACTGCGCCACTCACACGGTTCCACATATCAATCTACGACTAGCGCTACCCTTGTACACGTGTCGCAAGGCGTCCACGTCTCCAAACAATAGGTGCCACGTGGCAAAGCACCACTAGCACCGACCAGGCACGTGTGCAACCCCCAGCAGTCGGGGAGCTGTTCTCCCCAAGCGCTGGTCAAGCCGGGGCGGCTGGGCCTCACCGGTCGACCGACTACAGGGTGCTAGCGCTAGCGCAATCTGCAATCCCTGGGGACCCCCCGTTTCCTTTTCTCCACATTGAGAATCGTGTAGCCCAAGATATGGTCAACAATTGGTGATGTCAACAAGGAAGGATACATGATTGACATCAAGATTATCGGACCAATCTCCTTCTGGAGACCGAATATTGGCAAGGATGCAAGTCGCAGGCCTGGTTGTTGCAAAAGGTAATATATGCAAGTGGAGTTCTGCGAGAGGGTAATCTTTTCCTTCAAGCGTTGACCTTACGTTGGGTTTCAAAATGGTTGATGGGAATAGTGACTGTAAGGACTCAGGGAGTCATGTTTGGACGTTTTAATTAGGACAGACTTGTCCAGACGACCTCACCTTTGTTGAGAGGAAGCCTAATACCGTGAATTAGGTTATAACTTGTGCGCCTCTTGCTTGTTCGCTTATTATGTTGTGGTGCTGATTTTAGCAATAGGCTGAGAATTCCTTCTGTTTATTAACACACTCGATTTGAGATCTAGTACGTTGCCGCACAAGAGACTCTATGGGGGTAGGTTTTCATCCGACCTCTTGTGACGCTGTTTGTTTTTGTATATTTATAATTCTTCAAGTAATTAACAGTCTTGACCCGGGGAGAGAGTAAAAGTGAATTGAGACTGAAATCAGGTCCCCTGAGGACCTTCTCCTGCCTTGATTTGACAAGCCTGCTAATTGAGGGTTTGGGGGGTGGTCTGATTTGATCACCTCCAGCCAATAACAGAAGAAGTAAGAGCACGGTCCTGATAATCCGATGACCTTCGATACTCAGGTGTCGGCCCCGTTGGAAAACAGTAAAGAAAGAGCCTCCAAAAATTTTGAAGAACGTTACACAAGAGGGGTCTTGCCTACAAGATTTATTACTAACGACCCTAGTAACATTGAGAGATCAGAGGACTGTGTTTGAATCAAGGTTGACCCTCATGCTTTCCAAGCCCAAAAGGAATGGTTCTCAAAACATGCAGTCTCAATCTTTTTTGGGGGGGAAAAGTGAATCTCTCCCAGTCAAACTCAAGCGAAAATTGGTCAGAATGTATGAAAACAAATGGATTCGTATGCCAATGTTAGGTCTCGAACCTAAGCGGGAACGAAGGAAAAAACCTGGTCACATACATTCCTAGTACTAATGAGATCTCGACGTGGCTCCATCAAAAGCAATCTGATGAGATCACTCTTGATGAGATAAGTTACACCCTCTATTTCAGACCATGGATGACTGGAGTAGAATTGAATGAACGCAGGTACATTTTTTTTTTGATTCGTGTCATACAGGTCCCGATCGGATCGATGCCTCTGGTTCATGATGCGGTCAAGCTGGCCTATGGATGGGTTATAAAATCTGGCCCTACAACCGATCAACCAGAGGAACCAGAGCTCTTCAATATACGGTTTGATTTCGAACCAACGACACATGACCTATTCACTCTGTATATCGCTATTGATTTCCCAGATGGAGGGGGCTCAATTGAGCTGGAAGTATTGAACCAAGAGACTGATTGGTGTAGTGCCTGTCATTGGTACTACCACTTTGATGATGACCCAGACTGCCGCTCAAGGAAAAAAATCAGACAACAAAACCAAGTGAAATATTCATCGACTTCACCCCTCCCTCTTCCCCCTCCTTACCCCCACATAGAGGCTCAGCCAACTGGGGTGAAGGGAGGGGAAGGGAGAGGTATAGGGGACGTCTTTCAGCATCCCGTTCCCCCTAGTAAATCACATGGCTTTAATTTGGAGCAAGGACCTACTCAGCAGGCCACATGGGTTCCTACCCAAGGTCAATCACAAGGGGCGGTGCCCGGACCGCAAGGGGCCTCCACGATCGTTTTACTGGCCAATGCCCCGACTGCTATCACCAATTTGCGGACCGGGACTCAACCACAGCTCGGACCGTCTCCTGGTCCCTCGACCAAAACAGGAGACGAGACAGGCTATGTGGACCAGACCACTGCTGATGTCGTGCCTCCAAATGAGAGAGTTCTAATTTTGTTGGAGGGCTCATATTCACTTCCATCTCAAGCCTTCGTAACGAATCACATTAATCAAGCATTCTCACCAGTCCCCCAAGCACGGGGTGCCTGGATTGATAAGTTGACTGCCACACCTATAATTATAAACGCTGATTCCTTAGCAATGGACACCTCGGCAGTGGGACAATCATCACCGGGGGTGTTGATGATTGAGGGTGGTTCTGCAGTAGACGACATCCCCGAAAAAAAAACAATGGATGTCACTGTTGCTCCTGCTTCAGAGGTCGACCCCCTGCTGTTTATTCCTTTAGGACCCGCAACAGATCTGTCAGAAGGAGATAGCCCACAGTCCGAAGACTCGAAAGGGAAGACGTGTGGCACCGTTGTCACAAAATCGTGAATGGAAGCTGGAGGCTCTTTCAAGTCTCCCAAGTCCCCGGGTCTAACCGAAGGGAACCATGAAACCTCCACAAAGGGCACACCATAATACTAAAAAAAAGGGACTAGGGAAACCCAAGAACAGGGTGTTCCCCTCCTTATCTTCGGCACAACCGATGACAAGCTTGTCTAGATCAGACAAAGGGAAGACCGAAGACTATCTAGCCCCGCTGATCTGTGTCCCTTCAGTAAAAGGCCTGATGGTTTTGTCCTTTTCTCCCTCTGATGGAACATTGGGTATGGACATCGTGAGGGTAGAGGGGCAACCATCTGAACTGGACATCATGGGGCATGCATGTAAGATCCTCAAGGGATCTGTTACGCCAGGGTGATGCATGAGCCACAGGTCAGCAGATATACATTGGATTGGGCCTCCGGAAAACTAAAATCCTTGAACCCCCACTGGATCCCATCGGATCCATTTACTAAGCCTATCAATCCAATGCTAAAAAAAATCTATATGGTCGAGAGCATCTCTGCCCAGGTCATTGCAGATTGACTGAAACACTCTAGGCTTAAAGAACACATGTCCTCCCCACAATTTTCAGCTATGCTCCAAAACCCTTGCGCTTTGACTCAATTGCAGTCTGGGGAAGAAACAAACGAGAAACACAGGAAACATCTTAGTCTGTTTATACCGCCACATCCAAGCCAAGGGCGGAGAGGTAAGACACAACGATGCTCCTGCCAAAACGCCTGAGGGTTGTTAACTGGAATGTGTGAGGCCTAAATGATAGAGACAAACGAACGAGACTAGCATCATGGGCACATTCACAGGATGCCTACGTGCTATGCCTCCAAGAAACAAAATTGTGCCCCTCCCGAATCGCTAAATCCAAGTACTGATGCTTGGGCCCACAGTTTTGGGTCTCGGCCGACGGTACAAAGGGAGGGGTGACTACATTAGTTTATAAGGATCTGGATATTGAAATTATTGACAGTTTCACAGATATCAACGGACACTTTGTTTGGGGAAAAACGACTATTGGAAATGAAGACAGGGGTCTTATGTCAATATACGCCCTAGTCTATTATGCAGAAAAATGTGAATATTTTGCTGATCTTTTGGGTTTTCTTCCAGACACAGAGAATCTGCTAATTGCAAAATATTGGAATACCGTTTTAGTGTCTGGCCTTAACTCACCATGCATATATCCGATTCGAAATGACGTAAAGATACTAGTTGAGTTAATAGAGACACAAACTTTAATGGATGTTTATCGAGTGATGAACCCTGACTCATTTGGATACTCCTGGTATGGTCCACATCCAGACGAGCTTACTCCAACCCCTAGCCGACGACTGGATTTCATCCTAGCAAGGGGAGCCCTGTGGGACCGTAGTATCTGGACTGACCTGCAGATATCTGGTTTTTCTTATCACTACCCCATCTTGTTGGATGTGATCTATGGGGAATAGATTGAAAGGGTCAGGGCCCCCTTCCATTTCAATGTATCCCACCTGAAGGACAAAGGAATTATTACGTGGGTGAAACAACAAATCTTGAAATGGAATGAGGCTAGGTCCCTCTTTGGAAAAAAGAAAAAAGAGCTTCAGCAAGCCATTATGGATGCGGAGACGAAAATTTGCAAGGATCAGTATGGCGACATCTACTGGTATATAATTAGCAAAGAACTTTTATCACAGATGGCTGAGATGGAAGCACTGGAAGTTAACAAACAATCGCAATGGCTAGAGTGGCTAAAGATTCGTGGCTATAGATTCGGGGTATTAAGGGTAAGGACAGAATGACTAAAATTACCTTTCGATCACTGCTGATTCAAGGTACTAAACCGTTACTCTGTGAACTTCACCACCCATTTGCCACAGACGAACCTTTGGCAGTAACCACACACACCATGTACTCATATGCTGCTAAATATTTTCCTGCTATCTTAACCGTGACTACAGTTCGCCCTACGGATTCCTTCCACTCTAACTTGTCCTTCTCTTCATCCTTTTGGAACTGCATTCACGTTAGAATTTCTAACTCTGGTAAATTAGACTTGGACAGACCCTTCTCTACTGAAGAGTTATTCCAGGCAGCAAAACAAATGTCTACAAGCAAATGCCCGTGGATCGACTGCCGCTCAGTGGAACTCTGTATTGCAACCTAGGAGGTAATGGATCCATAGGTTTTAAAAATCTGCAACAGAGCTGCCACTAAGGCTATGCTCCCAAAATGGTTATTGAAGGTATTATTTCTTTGTATAAGAAGGGCGATAAGCAGAAAATCTGAAAAATTTGCGTCCGATATCCTTATTAAATGTTGCCTACAAAATAGTGGCTAAGGCATTAGCTATTAGATTGGAAAGGTACCTTCCTCAACTAATAGGTCAAGAACATGGTGCTTTCGTAAAAGGAAGATCGGTCTTTGAAAATATTATAGCTACTATGC